AAAGGATAAAGAAGGGGAAGAAAATCACTTTTTGTATTAATATCTCCAAATCCCCTCTGCTTGTATTCTGGGGGTACTGCCTTTCAATATTTTTTCTATTTATATTTATTTTTCAGTGTTGTGATATAGTAGTCTGGTCTCATGGAAGAAACCTGAATAAATAAATTATAAGGGCATCAAAGCTCCTCTTCTAGAGTACTTTAAAAATAGAACTGTCATCTATTTATGATAATTTAAGAGTCGAGCTGCAGAGATGGATAACAGAGGATAAGCCAAATACTTCTCGATATCATTCGCATTTCAAAATTTTATACATACAAGAAATCATAACCAGTCTATTAATGGATGTTTCAGCATTACCTAATTTTTCACCAATACAAAGAAGGTGTGAATAAGCAAGCTCTGTCAAAAGAACTGAGAGGCACAGTATGCATGTGAGAGAAAACAAAAACATAGAAAGTCGGGATGAGTAAAATATTGGAGATTAAATAATACAGCTCCCCTAATTTGTGAAACGGACATGGATGAGACTATCTTGTTACAAGGTGAATCAGTTTTTACATTAATGTACATTGTAAGAAAAAAATTCCTCAATAGACAAATACTAATTTTGGGCAAGAAGATACCTGACATAGTGAAAAATCCGATGCTCGTTGGCAGTAGTAGGGACAGCCCTTTACCCACTTTCACAGCCCTTGTGGCTCCGCTAGCTTATTGACTCCTTCCTGTCACTGGCTTATCCATGTCCTTTCATGCCCTGAGAATGCAGATTCTCTTCCCCCATGCTAGGAGAGTCCAAAACTCAAATAAGAGGGCTTCAAATGTGGTTCTTTTTCTTTTAGTCTAGGAGAGTTAGAATGCCTAACAGCATTGACAGAAATGTTAAAACACACTTTACACAATGTCTACTATGGGTTATAAGCCTACTTGGCAACTTTTTAAAATTAAGAAACAAGCATAAATAATCCCCAACCAATTTTTGCTAATAAGGTAAGAATATGTCTTTGGCGATATCATTTATTTAAAAACTTTATGAAAGGGTAAAATCACTTAAACTTCCTTTTTTTCCAATACAGTCGTCCCTTGGTATCCACAGGGGGTTGGTTCCAGGACCCCTGAGGATACCAAAACCCGAGGATGCTCAAGACCCTTATATAAAATGGCATAGTATTTGCATATAATCTACTCACATTTTCCTGTTTACTTTCGATCATCTCTAGATTACTTATAATACCTAATACAACATAAATGCTATGTAAATAGTTGTTATACTGTATTGTTTATGGAATAATGACAAGAAAAAAAGCCTTTTTTTCCCCAAACATTTCAATTTTTTTTTTTTTAAATATGTGGAACCTGCAGATACAGAGGGCCAAGTGTACTAGATATTAAGGAGCATAACACCAAAACCAAACAAACAAAAGAGCCTGTTTGCTAAGCTTTGGATATAAATTATTTTGACCTAAAAAATAATGTCAACATATCCTTCAGTATGGTAAGATGCTTAGGGAAGTTGGAACAACTGCAATTTGACACATCTATAAAGAGTTCCTAGGGTTTAGCATGAGTGTCAGTTACTGGAAATTTGAAGGCAAGGAAGACATGGAAGTAAAGATAAATATTCTAACTTACTAGAAACATATAAGGAATAGTTATCTAGCTATAGTCCTGTAAATCAAGCTGTTTACCATTTTATTTACTTATTATTTATTTGTCTTTAAAAAATTAAAGACATTTAATAGAAGTTTATAGGAAAATAATAAATCTAAACAAAACAAGTAAAGAGTATGTATAGAAGACTATGTCCAAAAATCATATGTATCTGGAGAGTCGGGGGGAAGCCTAGTTAAGAGTCCCACGTAAGTTTCAAATTAATAATAATTTGTCAGAAGTTTGAACAAAGTAGACCTCAGATTTTTTTAGTTTTTTTTTTTTAACTTTTCTGCGATCAAGATTTATAGCTCATATAACAAACGTAAATAGATGCAAACTGTTTCTCAGTCTTTCAGATTAATTCCCATGGAAATGGCTCCCAGAAAACGCCACCACAGGTAGCTGTTTGAAAACGGAAGGAAACCCTTCTACCACAGAGCGTTTTGTTCAGACTTTTCCTGGAAATTCTTTTTTTTTTAAATTATTATTCCCATTTTTTAACTGTTGTTGAGAATATACACAGAAAACATGTACAATTCAACAATATCTACATGTACAATTTAGAATTTAGTGGCATTGAGTACATTCTTCAAGTTGTACAAGTTAGGCAACCAATCTCATCCTCCTTTTCCAAATTTATCTTCCCCCATTAACATGAACTCACTGCCCCTTAAGCTTCCTATCAAACTTTTCTAGTTGATGTTGTCAATTTGATCCCATATAGATAGTTCTTTAAAAAAACACAATACTCAGGCAGATACTCTATACTAATTAAGATAAACTGTTGTTTGTTTAAATAAAACCTCAGAGGATATTTTGGTTTAAGGTTAGAGATTATCTCAGGGCAATAGTTTCAGGATTTCATTCAGCCTCAATTGCTCCAGAAAATCTGGATTCTAAGCGAATTTTCAATTCAGTTCTGCACTTTCCCCCTTTTGATCAGGATGCTTCCATAGAATCTTTGATAGAAATGTTCAGTAGTGGTAGCCAGGCACCATCCAGCTCTGGTCTCATGGCAAAGGAAGCAGCTGTTCATGGAGGCAATGAGCCACGCATTCCATTTCCTCCTCCTATTCCTGACTCTCCTTCTCCCTCTGTTGCTCTAGATGAGTTTCTCGTAAATCACATTTAAGGATATAATTTTTATTTATAGCACTGTTGTTAGTTGCCACCGAGTCAATTCCACTGCTAACTGCCCCATAGAGTTTTCAAGGTTGTGACCTGTCAGAAGCAGACTTCCAGGCCTGTTTTCCAAGGCACCTCTGGGCGAGTTCAAACCACCAACCTTTCAGTTAGTAGTTGAGTGCTTAACCATTTGTGCCACCCAGGGACTCCATTTATAGCATACAGAAATGTTATAGTTTGTAACACATGATCCCAATTCTCCCTTGGCTACCTGCAGCAAATTTGACTCCAAACCACCAGGTCCATGGCATGATGGTGTGATGGAAGACATGCAGGAAAGTAACTTGCTTATTTTTCTTACGCAGAACAAAAAAGATCTGAAATAATTTAAAGAAAATCAAGTTCATATAAAATTCTGTAATAATTTATCTAGGACTACAAAAACATCGGTAAAGTGCAAACTATTTCACACTATAATTTGCTTTGAAAGGGTTGCGTTATGGAATGCTCACAGAAACAGCTGACTCTCCAAGGGACAGCTCAAAAATTAATTAGTATGGAGGAATTTAGGTATGATGTCTAATCATGGGAGAACCAATAAGGTGAAAGAAAATTTTATGCATATTTACAAATGAAGGATGTAACATAAAGAATACAGCCAAAAATTGCTGAAAGAAATGATATTGCTAACATATATATATATATATCCAAGTGGATTTTGCAGTATACAGGAAAGTAGAAGAATCTTAACTCTTGGAACTGAAATTATTCTACATTGCTGTCTAACACATCTTTCCAACTGGATAAAGGAGTAAGCAAACTGAAAGAGGACTTGCAACAAATCAGAAGTTAACAAATTATTAAAGAAATGTGAAGGGAGGAAAACTTGAAGAGTTAATGTTAGAGATAGGATGGAAAAGAAAGCAAAGCTTCCTAAAAAAAGGAATAGAATAGTAAGGCTTTTTGGAGGAAAATGTTTTTTTAAAAAAAATTCAAAAAGCAAAATTCAGAAAACCAGTGATTAAATACTTCTAAATACAGGATTAACCAGATTAGCACAAAGAAACATATTAACTGGAGTATTTGAGCAATGTAGCTTAGAAGAGGACCCAGGAAGCAGCAAAAGTTTCCTTATGGAAACTAGAACTGAGAACATGCAAAACAAAGACAATGAAGCCAAAATTCATTTGCTTATGCACATGGAAGTAGGCAGCATGGTGCAACATAAAAAGCCATAAACTAGCAACACAGAGTCCTAGTCCCAGTCAGTAGTAGCATTTCTCTGAGTAAACTGTTTCTTGGTTTCAATTTTTTTCAAATTGAGAGTTCCAGGTTAGATCAATGGTTCTTTACCTTGCTGTGAATCTCCAAGAAGCTTTTAAAAAAATAACCATGCCTGGTCTCTACACCAGACCATCTGGCACCAAATCTCTAGGGGTGCGGCCTAGTTTTCTTTTCCCTAATGCAATTAATTCTACTACACCATGAGGGCTGAGAACCACTGGACTATAGCAAGGATTCTTAAAGGGTGGTCTCAGGGCCAGCAAAATCAGCATCACTTGGAAACTTGCTAGAAATGCAAACTCCTGAGCCCCACCCAAGACCTACTGAATCAGAAACTCTAGGGGTAAGGTTCCAAGAATCTGTGTTATAACAAGTCCTCCAGACGATTCTGATGCATACTAAGATTTGAGAACCACTGGACTTGATGCTCACTAAAATCCCTTCCAATTCTAACATTATGTGATTAGTCAACCGAAAAGTTGAAGTATGTCAAGATTTGCTACAAGAAATTTAGTGTATATATTCTGAAGAGAGGGCACATTTGTCAGTCTCCGATCAGAACTGGTTCCAGATCCACATGCCATAGAGATACAATAAGGATCCAACTTTCCTAAACTACTCTGGAAATATGGGCGCAGGGCTTTTTCTTCTTACCGTGAACCCTAATCCACGGCACTTGCTTCTCCCAGGGCCCAGTTACCCAAGTTCAGAGTTGATCCTCAACAGGATCTTAAGCAGGAAGAGAAAGGGCCCAGTAAGCACAGACTTCAGAAAGGCAGCTGGGGATAGTTTTGGTACAACCAAAACTACTTATACCCTGGGGTTAACTCAGCATCCTAGTGTACGTTTATGAATTTTGGAGCATTTATACCCTTAGAGGAGTATGGATAAAACACAGTGCTTTGGTATAAACAACCAAAGGTAGGATGTACTCTGCTCTTTGCTTCCTGAACCTGCTTCACAAAGCAACCGTCATCCATCTACATAAAGATGCACAATTTTGTTGTGTGTTTAACAGTTACATGATTATCTCAATCAAATGATCTATAAGAACATTTTCTGGAGCTTGGAAAACACTAAAAAATAAGCTTATCCTATCTTTTTTCAAAAATTACTGATAATAAAAGGTAAAAGATAACAGGTGTGCCTGAGGAGAAGAGATAAACCAAGGTTATCAGGCAACTGAACTACAGAAGCTTATTGCTTTCATTGAAGCATCAAACATATATGAAACGTGGTGATGACATACTCACAGTATCTAATAACTCAATAAATTTGGAGAAGTAATAAAGCCAGCAGGTGCGTGCCATCTGCAGAAACACACATAAATATGAATTTATTTTTAAATCCAAGAAATTTAAGAGGCACCAATTTTCATGTGACAAAAAACTACCCACCTGTCTTCCTTTGGTTCTTTCTTATATTTAATTTTATTTTACAATACATATAAACTGATCATTGAACCATTTACTCATTCTTAGTTCACATTCAGTGTTGCACATAAAATTCAAAAGTTGTAAAAACTGATTTTGAGTTACAAGCTTTTCCAAAGAGAAACTTACCCTCAAAGCAGGTGGTGACTGTGAATAGTCAACAATTTCACATCGAAATGAATAACCTGTGCCCCAGCCAGACATCACAAACTGCAAGAGAGCACATGCATATTAAAGAAGGAAGTACTTGCTCAACAGCTACAACAAAGGTGGTTTGATTATGTCTGATCTGGAGGTTCTCGGCTCAGTAAGCAGTCACTGCAAAGGGAAAGACTTGCTAAAACAATCACAAACTACAAACACACTTGATTTCACAGCAACAAGAATTTTCAAAACCGCAAACTCATATATTACTTATATAAACTGTGTTCTGACTGAAATGCCCATTTCGTGGGATGATTATTTTAATCTAATGAAGAACAAAACACTGGGAGTGTTTTGCTTAACCAGCAAATACTGGTTAAGTGATTTATCTTACATACATTTACCTGCATGAACATGTCTGTGTGTGTGAGCGTGTGTGGACTCTAAAGGGAATAACTTGGTCAAAATTCAGTCTTTTCTGATTTCCAATCTTTCAAATTAGGTCAGTAAATAAATGGCCAAACCAAAATTCCGCAATGTACTCATAAGGTGGCTGCAACAAGTAGGTTTTTCCTGACTTTGGGTACTGGGTATAGTGTGAAGTGGTAGCCCAGGGCTGTATTACTCTTTTCTCCTCATTTAAAATCGAGATTGACCAAACACAAGACTCAGATACTGGTTTTGCTTTGGATTCACATTACAAGTTAGGAGAGAAAATGTTAACAAGGCAGTTATAAGGGCGCAATCTGGCAGGCCTTAATTCCAATACACCCACAAAGTGACCTTAGACTGGTGGTGAGAAGAAAAAGCCTACTGTTATCAAGGCTGAACTCTAATTCCAAAATGATACTGACATTCGTTCAATCTGATGGTGGGAAGGTCTTCTTTTAAAATGGTATCTGAAAATGGAAAGCTAAGGGCTCTAATTTTAAGTTAATGCATATATTAAATGGGTAGCTTAATTCAGAGTACTGACAAGATGATCAGTTCTTCTCTTATCTGGCATTCTATTCTCCCAAGTGCCAACATCTTTCCTACAATGTCTTCTTTTTGAGAATAATGGTTATATTATTTTGACCACTAAAGGCTTTAAATTTCTATTTTTAATTATATTAAAGCTAAAATTATGACTTTACCATAAATTAACTTCTAAAAACAAAGCCTTATGAGGTATTATCAGAATGACATTTAATAGCGAAAAGAAACAAAAGAGAAGAGCAAATATTTAGACTGTGGTGTTTTAAAATGCACTGTCCTTTTCTGATACTAACTCTTAGCTTGAGTCATTAGATAATCACACTGTTAATCTGATAAGTTATAAAATCTTGAAAACTAAGAAAAGTACAAGAAATATATTTCATGGGTAAGAAACATACTTTACCAAAACAAGCCAATAAATTTTCTCAAAGGAACAAGGGAATGTGGCACAGATATGGCTAATCCCGTTTTATAAAAATTGATCTGTTGGTGAATGTTCTCATATTCTCTTGTACTCAGACTCACTTCTCACTGACACAAGGAACACTCTAAATCCAGGAGCTATTAACTTAAACTGTGAAGTATAAGCAGCAGAGGAAAGATCTCTATCATATCCTACCACAAATAAGCACAGAGTTAAATCTGAGAAGTTGTGTGACTTTGCCTTCTGTAGGGGTCTAAACTGTACAGGTAAACTACATGTTCAAACAAGCACTACAAAGTAAGGCACATGTGTTCCTTTAGTCTGATGCATTTGTCTTTCACCTGGTTCATTTTTTGGAGGTATTTATTCTGTAACGACTCGTGCTGCACACACTAAACCAGGTGTTTGGATGTGTCCTGGAGATGGCATGCTGCCTGGCTGTCAAAAGTCTTTGTTTATACAAGGTGGGGCTTACTGCTTGCCTGATATTTAGTTTAACAACATTCCAACAGTCTGCTAAGCATTATATATACATGTATGTATGTATATGTGTGTGTATATATATACACACATATACATACACACATATGCCTAGCAGTTAAAAAAGAATAATAATTTATATTTGGCAGGTAATACTCTGAAACTACCATATAAGTAACTGAAGTCATTGGTGGTTAATGGGAGATAAAAACTATCTCAAATTCAGGTTATTTTCAAACTTTTTTTTTTTTATTTGTAGTTACTAAAGTATAAACCAAAACTGACTGGTTATAATTGGATTCCTTCTAAACCTGAGAAATATATTTAGGGACATCACAATCACTGACACAATCAGACACAGAGCCTAAGCATATCTGAACTTGAGGGACCCAAGAGACAATCTGATTCAACCCTGACTCTGTAAGATAAGTAAGCAGAGAGATTAACTGCCTTACTCAAATTAGGCTGCTAATTAGCTGCAGAACTAGGACTAACTTACTCCCTGGCCCTCTGGATTCCAGGTGTGTTCTTAACACTGTACTATAGTATGTTAGATCCTATCTCTGACAACAGAGGAAGAGCATGTATTTTCTCTCTTCCCCATCCCTATGATTCTTTCCCTTCAGGTTGCTCATACTCCAGAAGGGATAGTTAAGAGTGGCCTGTGAGTTAATTTTGGAAATTAAGTAGAAGAAATGGAAAGTAGCAAAGTAAGTCCTGTGAAAAATAAGGCTAATGTAAATGAAGGTGATCTGATCACGTGGATTAGCGGCAGGAGTCAGTTTGAAAAGACGCAGGTGGAGAGGCTATAGCATCAAGAGAAGCCAGAGGGGCCATGCTGGGCCCTGAGTGAGTCCCTGTTGTAAGAACAACCTGTGCTGCAGAGGAATTAAATAAGGAGAAGATGAGGAAGCCAGCTGGTACTGGAAAAGAAGCACAGAATTCCAGAGAAGTTGATGTATGAGAGTGGCTGAGGCACGTTAAGAGCTGAAAAGAGGATTCACAAGTCTGCTTTTGGGTTCTGGAACATCTCCATTCCTTTAATTACAATCAAGGGACAGGCCCCCTCATCAACTGCTTGTATGAAGTCTCAGTTCTCTGTTCAGTCCATCATCTTATTGTTCATTGGAACATGCAGAAACCAAGGGTGCCTATCATGATGATGGCAACTCATTACAGAGTCAGAATAAGCTCTCATGTCAGACAGGACTTGGTTCAGGTATCAGATTTCCACTTACCAGCTATGTTACTAAGTTATTTAATTTCTCCGAGTGTGAATTTCCTCAAAACTACCATTTACGGACTCATTTAATCATTTATTAAGGCTTACTACATGCCAGTCCCTGGACTAGATGTTAATCTTTCTCACCAACTGTGAGTTAGACTATTCTGAAATCTTCTGAAGAACTCATTATCTGATCTTTATGTAACACTTGTCAGGCAAATACGTGCTCTAGTGAGGTCAGTTTCTAAAGTTCCTTAAATCTCAAACAGTTACCCTTATAGTCATGGAAACATAACGACAGATAAACTGGAAGACTCAGACAAAATTTTCCCATTAGGAATACTGAAAACACTTGCCTCATAACACATATACACAGAAAAAAGTACTATGAAAAAATTGTACGTTATCATCGCTCTCTTGAGTTCAAAGGGCTTTCGGTTCTCCATGAGCTTTGGTCCCAGAGAAGTGACAAAATAGACATAGAGTCCAAGGATGATGGTTTGTGGAAGAGGCGAGGACATGAGGAGCCAGTCTTCAACTCTCGGATCTAAGAGAAAAGCAAGATGTAAGTGCACACTCACTTGGCCAAGAGATAACTGACACCACCCAACATTTCTTTAAACAAGTACCTAGAGCCTAGCTTTGATATGGACTATTTGGCAGGGGTATCTTTGGGAAGGGTGAAGGCAAGGGAAGTAACTGAAGATAGTGAAGTATCCTGGGATTAGAAACAGTGGGGCTCTTACCACTACTAGGCTTCAAAGGGCAAGGGGTGGTATTAGTTACCAAAACCTAAAGGAGAAAGTCATGTGAAAAGCCCTCCTTGAGAGGAACTGCGACCTTCACTTGAAGGATTCAGCTAACCCAAGGCAATTCTACAAGGGGACAGGAGAATAGATACCCCAACTTTACCCCCATCCTTCTTTCCACTCTCCTGGGGCTTTCAATTGGCTAAACCCAACCAGAAACCAAAGGGCAAGAGAGCCATCCCATGGATGTAGTTAATACTGGTTAGCCTCCAGGGCCCAGCATAGGGTGAAGAGTGGATTTGGAGGACAGAGGACATTCAGCAAAATCCCACCACCCATCTATCTATAACTACCATTAACATCTTAGAGTTTTTCTATCCTGGCTTTCTGCTACATATAAAAACATTTTTGTGCTTGCTTCTCAACTTTCTTTTCCCCCCAAGACAACTGGTGCACTTCTACATATATCATAGAATCGTAAGAGTTGAAAGGCAGCACAGCATCATCAAATCTCCAACATGTGGGTGTTGGTATCCAAAATGTGGGCTATCCAACCTATAGTTTGAGCAAAAAAAAAAAAAAAGTATTGGCGTTACAACTATGTGTATAGAAACTTATCCAATCACTGAAAGCGCCAGGCCAGCAGAGCTGGATCAATTAAATATTGCAACTCAAGGTGAAATGTGATTAATTCTATAATTTTAAGTAGTTCAAGTGTAATTTTACTAAATTGCCTCATGAACCCAGAG